GTGTCCAGTCAGTGTGTCTGTATTAACCCCTCTCTCTCTCCTCCAGTCTAACGGCAGTTGGCAGGACAGCACTAACCCTTCCTCCGTCACTTCGCCCACTGCTGAGCCGGCGAGTGTCCACTCTGATACCTCCAACTGAGCACCAAATCACAGATCTGAGCACGGACAACTGCATCTCCTCTCCACTCCTCGTCATCCCTGCTGCTCCAGACCCCCCGCCCTCCCCACAATACCTGAAACCTCAACCCCACCAGACCCGCGCCACGTCCCACTGCAAGGTCAGCGACAGTGCGTTCAGCTCCTGGGCCGGCGAGTCTCAGGACGGACACGAGTGGACAAGCCATCCACACCTGTGCTCCAGGTCGGATCCATCTCCAGTCGGTGGGGGGTGGGGGGGGGCACACAGGTAACCCCTGACCCCCCTTGATCCCGCAGGCCGTCTGTCTCTGCACACACATCGCCACTGTGTCTCAACCAGACTGGACAACAGAGACAAAACACAAAACTGAAACTGACAGCACTGGACACAATGGAGCAGACACCGACACCACAGTACGGTGGTAGAGCTGTGTGCGCCACGCAGGCCCTGACACTTGATTGTCAGGGGGTAGAGTGAAGAAGCGAGGGGGAAGGTGGGGAGACACCCCGTCTTCCTTGGATGAGGTCGCACACTTTTTAAAAGTGCATGGACTTCCCTGTGCTGTCCTGGGGGCGCAGGCCCAGCCGAGGTGTTGGGGAAGCTGCCGGCGCCCCCAGTGTGTGTATGCTACAGGGGTTACTGTAGGCGTGCGTGCGTGCGCACGGTATCGGGGTTACTTCCTTAGTAATTAAGGATCAAGGCTCCTGACCAAATTAAATAGTCCTCATATTTCCAAACCATTATTCCTTCCAACACATCTGCTTGTGCCAAAAGTCCTGTCCCAGTACTGTTCCTGAGAATGCCCACACTGCGGCAGATGGGGAAGTTAACCGGATTGTGTACGGAGCAGAGGCATGTGTGCGGAGGGCCTACGGAGAAGCCTACCAGTTTGTGTCAGAATGGACTGTGGTGGGCAGGTCTTGGGCACGCTCCCAGTCTGTACCGATCTCCTGTTCTTCCTGACGTCTGTGGGTGCCAGGCTTTCCCTTGGGTGGGAGCTGCGACCAGAGCCCCGCTAACATCGGATCGCAGCGTGGGGCTTTGGAGACGCTGCAAAAAGCATGTCTGGCATTCGTCGGCATCCGTGAACGTGACAGCCTGACCACGGTTTCTAGCCAGACGTGAGCCCTGAGGCACACGGGATCACAGGAGACCGGGGACCCGTGCCGTGCTGCTGGGGATCTCTTCTCCTTTGGTGGCTGGTCAGACAGATGTGTCTTTTCTAACACCCCGCAGGGTGTGTGGGGTCTGAGCTGTCTGGGTGTTGAGGTGCAGGGCAGAGATTCTCGGGGCTCTGGGCGGAGCTTGTGGCTGCGTTCAAACCACAGGGCCCGGGCACAGTGGGATCCCCGAGTTTCCTTGGGATCTTAACTCTCCTGGGTTTTGTTCCCAACCAATTCCTAATTTGTTAGAATGAACGAATTTAACCTATTGGTGGGGAGGGGGGGGGGATAAACATCTGTTAATGTTTTTTTCGAGTTATTCAAGTTTTGAGTACTGGGAGCGCAGATTGATTTGAAAGAAGTTACTGCGTGCTGCTTGGGAATGGAGGCCAGAAGAGGCGGTTCTGCGATCAGCACTGGACCTTCTGGGCCGGGTTTTGTTAGCTGCTCTGGGCCAAAGAGCTCCGCCCCCGGTCTCCCGTCTCTGAGACCCTGCTTGGTCTGAGGCCAGGGTGATGGAGACCCCAGGGGTCTGGAGCTACTCTGTGCAGGTCCAGTCAGTCCAGGATTCCTGCTCCCATCAGCCGTTAGTCTTTCCCTCACCTTGTCCCATTTTTTTTCCACACGTTTAGTTGAGAAGTTGTAGCCGATTTTTCATTTTTAATGCTGTTTCACAAAGAAAAGCACTGGGCACCAAAAATATGAGCTAGATGAAATTTGGGGAAGGGGGGGGAGGAGGGCATTAGGGTGAGTTAGGGGGGGGTGGGTCTATAAACTTTAAATAAAAAAAACTGAGAAAATGTGACCGTCTTCCATGCATGTCGTCTTCTTTAGGTGTGTTTGTGTCGACTGTGTTGCAAACCGATGCTTTTCGTCTTTTCGCGTTGCAGAAAGATTATGTATTTCAAACCACAAGTGACAGTGACCAGATATCTCGCTAAAGCCCAGCTCCTGCAGGCAGCCTCGCCTGGTGCCCACACCGGTCCACTCGACTGCTCCGGTGTTTCACAATGTCCCCCGCCGGCCTTTCCTTTCCTTTCCCTGCTTCATTTGGTCAAGAAACGGCACTGTCATATTGAGTGACGCAGCTCATTTCCCCAACTTGTCAGGGCCAAAAAATAGTGAACTGTTGAAGGTTAATCAGAATCGCCGAGTGGCTCTTCTGGAAGCTCTCCGGGGTTTGGTGTGTTTTCAGGCACGTTCTGCTCGAATTGCAGATTTTGCAATAACAGTCCTGTGCGAGGGACAGTACTGCACGCTGCAGGAAAGGGACAGGCAGCTTCTGTTTTTTTGGCTTAGTTGCTTAATATCCCATTTTGTCAAAAAGGACAATTCCAGAACTGACCCTTGCTCAGCTCACACTGTGATCTGTCTGTGTGACTCCAAATGTGCAGCAGTGAAATCCGCTCCAGGTTTAACAAGTTGCGGGCTCCCAACTCCCACCAGGTATTTCACCTTGTTGAGCAAAGGTACTATTCAATTTGCGATGATATATGTGTGTGTGGTTAATATCAAGTAGAAGAACCACGTTTAGTGTTACAATCTACTCCAGAGCCCCATACCTTTGAATGCCTGAAGTGGATCAGACTGCTGTGCAGTGCAAGACTGTATCCTTGAAAACATATCAGATGCGTTTCGCTTTCATATGATCTCTCTGATGTCTGTCAACCTAGCCTCAGCTTTTTTAAGAACATAAAAAAGGCCATATGACTGTAATAGTATTGTTTCAGAACCAAATATAGTATTACCAACTTGGTAATGAGTAAGGAAATCAATGTGTATGAGTGAGGGGTACAGGAATGTAATTTGGGGTTATCAATGGATGTGCCCTGTTTTTAAGTCAACAGAAGCCTTTTGAAAAATGTTTCTCTTTTTTTTTTGTTTAAAACACTAAAGACTTTCCGAAGCACCAGGAAGTTTGTGTTTTGTTTCTGCCAGTTCGTGGTTTCTCTAGAACTGCTGTTACTGCTTCTTTCGTTTTAACTTCTGTTAATACACCAAATTGTCTTCCCTGTCTTCTCCCGGCTGTGCATCGATGTCAGTGTACAGATTGTGGGTTTTTTTTTCTTTCATTTGACGATTTTTAATGTTTGGCATATAGCTGGGGAGACTGTAGACCAGATTAAATCAACAGGCCCTCTGTGCCCTATTGGCCATTCTGACTTAGCTGGGAAGATGCGCAGTCTGATTTAATGTGGGCTGATCTTTCAGTGATTGTTTTAGTGAGTTTTGCTGTTTTTTGTTTGGAGTGCTTTTTTAAAATGTTTTCTTTTTTTTTAACCACCTTCGTTTCTCCCCCCCCCTCCCCCTCCCCCCCTGTTGTGAGACTGTGCCTCCCCGCGGCCTGTCCGCACAGCGCTCGTCTCTGGGAATGTCGGTTGGGTGCTCCCGGGGATCGGAGCGGCGCCTTTCCGCCAGGGACCCCGGCTCTCTCGGGGAAGGGTAAAGGGGGGCGCTGGGGTGCGGTGACTGAGCCGGAACCCGCTTGAGCCTGAATCGAAAAGGTCCAGCTTTCCCTGCGCGCTCCCTGGAGAGCCGTTGGGATGAGAGATTCCCACCTCCGATCCCTCGGCACCGAACCCGTGAGGCCGCGCTGCACCGTGACCCGACCCGACCCCTCCTCCTCGCCCCCATCTTGTGTAGAGAAGTTAGCAGGCCGAGCCCTGGGGCTCCACTTATACCTCACGCGTGTAGGACACCTGTTCTGGGAGGAAAGAGGAGAACTGTAGTGTTGCTTATTAGAAAACTAAAAATAAAATCTAGTGTTTTTTTGGGAGTGTTTATTTGCTTTTTCTGAACTTTGCCAGGGCAGAGATCCGAGTTAAGAGCTAGATTTCCTGGTCTTCTTCCGAGCGGTGCAGCCAGGACTGGGGGGGTGGTGGAGCAGCCCCCGCTTGTCTCTACCTCCTGGAGCGGAGACGCCCTCCTGCTCATGCCTGGTTTCTGCAGTAGCTCCGCCCTGAGCGGGCAGGCGTGACCAGGATCCTCGCTGTTCTTGAGACTGTAACCGTCGAGCCGTGAACGAGGGCGGTGTTGAAGAGGAAGGAAAGGCGACTGTGGGGTGATGCTGGCTGTTCCACAGATCAAGAGGAGCCAGCCTGCCTCCATTCTGGCTCCACACCCAGAGTGGTGCAGTGACACAGGAGCCAGAATGGCTGACAAAAGGGTCTCGATTTCCTGGCTGATGGGGGCAAGTTGCTCTCATGCAGATGGAGGCAGGTGGCAATAGCGTTAATGGTGCGAGGGGTGGCGGTGTGCAGTCAGGCCGTTCCTGTTTGGCCATGTGCCTATAGAATGTGGTCGTCTACTGTCCTGCATGGACACTGACCCCTAGAGGGTGCCACTGGGTGGGATGGTCCCAGAAACATCGCTGATTCACAGAATCGAGCCCAGACATGGCCGTGTGGTTTAATAGTCTTGTTCACAGGCAGGCGGCGGGTTCAAGGCTGGCGGGATGTGCGCGCCGATAACCTGACCCGTCTTGCTGGGGACCAGCCTCTGCGCCAGCCCGTGGGCAGAAAGCTTTGTTAGAAAAATGCTGCCCCTGGCCAGGCTTGGGACCAGGCTCAAGGGTGTTGCAAAGGTGCCTGTAATGAGCAGACTGAATAATCAGCTGTCAAACACCTTAAGGAACATCTGTCTGACTGAGGAATTGGATTAACTGTTCAGTCTGGAGCAAAGAGCTGAAGGCACTGCTCTTCTCCACTGCTCCTGCCCCTGCTCCCAGGAAGTGAGTTCGTCAGGGCGACCGGACACCCCACGAGCTTCTTCCGTCCCATGGGATATACAAATTTCCTCGGATCCGCAACAGTACCCTTTTTAGATTCCCAGATCCCCGAACATCCAAGTGCTGTTTCTCATGGGAATAATTGCCGGGGTGGGAGATGGGGGTGGTCTCCGGGACTGGAGGGCCCCTGCCTCTCTCTCTCTCTCCAGGCTTTCTGATCGACCTGAACGCCAGCTGCTGTTTGAGCGAGACCTGGAGCCCCTGTGGACGGGCCGCTGCCCCTCCAGGCGCGGGGGACTCCCCGTCCTGCTTCTCCACCGCGGCCAGGGACGGTCCCATCGCCGCCGGCTCAGCCCCGGACCCCGGCTCCAGCTCCCTGGGGCGGAGAGCGGCGCTTGTCGGGGGTCTTTTACAAGTCGAGCGCGGGTGTGTGTGAGGTCCTGTTCATCGGCAGCGGTGTAAATATCGGTGTTTTTATACTGGTTACCGAGCTCCTGATTATTTTTTTACTTTTTTATACAAGGGTGTGATGAGGTAGTGGCTCGCTACTATAATAAAGGTTACACAATGTTATAATATTAGCAGGATTCTTCTATATACATACACATACATACCCTTCCAAATTGTAACTGCCTGTACCAAAAATACACTTATGTGTGTGTATGTATGCACAGTTTGACATTGTAATTTTAGAAATGATGTATATACTTACACCTGACGCAGGAAACTTAACTCTAGGTTTTGCTAATATACAGTATATATACATATATGTATTGTGTATATACAGAATTTAGTTTCAATGTTTCAAGTCTTGTTGGTGTGTTGTTACAATTTTTAGAACTGTCTTGTGGACTGTAAAAAAAAAAAGTTAAAAATTAAAAAACTGCAAACAGAAATCCAAAGGCTTCTGGCAGCTTTTTAAATATTGTTCTGTCCTCCCCTCCCCCCTTCTTCCTTTTGACTGAGGGGGAGCATTTGGGTTTGCAGAATTAACGGGACCTCATCATGCAATAGGGTGGCTGAAGTGAACTGGTTTAGTGCATTTCCCCTAATTCTTTAGGTGCTGGTGATACAAAAGATTTAAAGCGATTTCCAATCAATCCCTTCACAGAGTGTAACAATCCACTTTCAGTGTAGATCACCTGCTGTTCACAGTCGGAGGGCTCTTAACATCTGCAGGAAGAGCCGTTCATCAAAGGCTGGACTTATCTCCTGGCAGAAGACTTTGTTAACGGATCACCGAGAGCCAATAATAACGCCCTGCTTCAGTAGTTCATCGGCTTGATGAATCAATTCATTCGTTCATTAAGCGGGGGAGCCCAGTGCTGGTGCTCGCTCCCTGGTCCTGCACCATCCTCCTCGCCTCCAGAGGCGGCTGAGCTCCGGGTTGTGTAGTCGACCCTGTCGACAGGCCCCCCCGCGTGACGGCGGGATACGACGGGGGGGTCTTGCACGTGTGCTGGTACAGGAAGGTGGCACGGAGTCGGTTCCCTTGACGCCAAGGCTGTGTCCTCTGGGATGAACTTCCAGAACGTGTCCCAAACACAGAACGGGAAGTCGTGAGCGTTATCCGCGATTCCAGGGAGGAAGAGCAAGGGGCAGTGGTCCTCCTCCCAGAGGGAAGAGCAGCAGTTCAGCCCGGGAGTGTCCTGCAGGCCTCTCCGCGGGGGCTCTTTAATTCCAGGAAGGGAGGGAAGACTCTTGAGGCGTTCCTGGGGGTCTCCCCCTCCCCTGAAGCCAGCGTGTGCTCTGCGGTTGGCAAGGCAAGGGTAAAAGGAACAAGTGCAGGAGCGTGCAAGTGCCTGGAGTCTCCTGACACATCGGAGGTGAAAGGTCAAGTTACCCAGATCTATTGTGCCGATTCCTGGTGGGGGGGCTGATGAGCGAGAGGAGCCTTTGTTGATGGACGGTGGGTGTGTACATAATTTCTGCCCCCCCCCCCCCGCACGGGGAAACACTAAACTTTTGGAGCCCTGAGAAGGAAAGGGTTGTTGTGGGCACGTGCAGTACCCATTCTCGTGTGTGCGTGCGCGCGCATGCACCTCTTGCAGTCAGGCTTGATCTGCTCCTCCCTGTGTTCGCGTGCAGCTCAAACTGTGCCGGTTGCCCCTGCCTTCCCGGGGGACCGAGTCGCCTCGCGGATTAAAAACGGAATTAATCTGGGCCAAAGGTTTTTTGCAGACACGCTACCTACTGCTTAAATTTGCGGTTTGAGCACAAATCGAACCCTTTCTGGCAGTAGTTCCGGCATGCGCTAGGCATTGGATTGACATAAAAACCCTTCCCAGTTACTACTGGATTTCTAACGGTGGAAGCATTCATTTTTCCTCCAAATGTGGAAAAGTGATCTTAAGAACTGTTTGAGTGCAGTAGCATAGGATGCCCACACGGTGGCAGTAGATGGACATTAGAGCCACTATCCATACAGAGTAAAGAGCAAAGTCCCGAAGACCATGGCAGTACAGTTTTAAGGTGCAGCTTTATTGCAATACAACAGCTTATATCAGAGGTCAACCATCAAGATCTTTCTCTGACACTGCAACAAGCTAACAAGTTGTATGTACTTGCTCCCTTATAAACCTTGTACACAAATGATTATGTATATTTTATCAGAGTATGCATGATTATATCAGGCGTTATCAGTGCACGTTTGTCATTCGTTTTCACCTATGTAGTGATAGGAGTGCTGCATGCAGTGTGCAATACAGGTCCACCAACCAACAGAAATAGCACAGAACTACCCCACCCTGAAACACACAGTCAGCCCAGCTGACCTCTCCCAGAGCAATACTGAGACACAAAGCAAAGCCTTCAGGGGGAAGCTCAGTGCATTTACAACAGAGAACAGGAAGTGCAACTTTACACAAAGGGTTGTGGGAGTGTGGAACAAGTTGCCTAGCTTGCTTGGCTGAAGGATACCCCGGGACTCCTCCGAGCAGGGACTGGATGAGATCCGATTGCTGCGTTACAGGCTGAACGAGCTACATTGGCCTGAGGCCTCCTTCCACCTGCCTGTACAAAACCTTTTATAACGAGTCGATCAAAACCTTTAGAGAAAGAGAACTGGGTGCTGTTTCAATGCAAGGATAAATAAGATATGGTAGGCATCAGCTCCTGCTGAGTCATAAGACAATATTCGAGTCACCATTCAGCAATAATGACATAGTCTCCTGCAGCTGTGGTTATTGCAGTGATGTCATCTAAACACAGGATTGTTATTTTTTAGCATAATGACTAACATCAGCCAAGCCAAAAGGATCTAGTGCATTTTTAACCATCCTAAAAGGTACTGCTACTGTGTACACAGCCAGTGCGCGTCACATGCACACAGATGGAAAGAGTAGAATGTGTTTAAGAAAACAGATGCTGGACAAGCGCTGGAGGGCGCAGCTTCAGTAATAACAGGATAGTTGCCTGCTGTCCTAGAAACCATTTCCATCAGGGTCTGTACAGGGGGCACAGGGGTCCAGTCACTCGCATCTTGCTCTGAGAAGTGGGGCTGTGCTCACCTTGGACCATGAGCCCGGAACAGGACTGGGACTGGGAGTGCGCCAGATGCTTCGAAAAGGGAGTTCAGCCCATCAGGAATATTCGTACACGTGTGCAAGGCCCTTACACTGGCGCTGTCCGGGGCCAGTAGTTTCGGACAGGGCACCGCCCTGGGCTCTGGTGCGTCCTGTGGCTCGCACCCTGCTATGGTGAGGGGTTCAGGGGTGCGGCTCTGGTGCGCAGTGCGTCTGGGGTGCAGACCCTGGCAGGGCGAGGGGTTCATGCGCTGGAGGCAGCTGCCAGCTCCGCGGTTCCTCCTTCACCTGTGGTCCTGGCGGAGGCCGGGCCGTGCCGGACCGGGGCGTCCGTCGCCCCCCTGGCTTCAGATCTCGGAGCTGCTGTGGTGGCCGGGCGGCGCCCCGTCTAAGTTGTGGGGTTTGCTGTCACCGTCGTCGAGGATGAGCAGCTGGGCCCCTCTTGCCCCCTCATCATCGTTGAAGTGGGTCTTCACCGTGCCAGCCTGCGGGACACACAGACACGCACACCCCGACACACACACACATACTGGGTTAGCATTCACAGCACCGGAGCCCCACACCCACCAGGACAGCACCCCTCCCTCTAGTCTGATCTCCCTGCCTGCCCCTTTCGCGTCCTCCCCCTGTCCCAGTCCCCCCCCCCTTTTACAATGTAGAGTCGCCAGGAGTGGTTACACCGTCGCCCCCTCTGAACCACACACTGCCCCCCCGCTGGTCTCGCTACAGTGACCAGGCAATGCCATCTCCTGCCAGCGCCGGCTGGCCTCTCTCCGGCCTGCACAGCCCTTGTGTGAGAGACCTTCGTGTCTGTCTCGTTTCCTGCTGCGATCACCACATCTGGGAACAGGCATCCTGGCCAGACTGGGCCCTAAGATCCCCCAGATGAACTTTCAGGCTGGCAGCTCATTAGGCAAGACGGGCCCAGTGGTCTCCTGTGGCTCAAAACCTTTCTTCTCGCAAACAGACGGCCTACTGAGGCTCAGGACTGAGAGACTGTCCGCTGTCAGTTGTGAAAGCAAGTCAGTAATCTGCATCTGCTCAGCAGTCAGTTATCTGAAGACAAAACAGGGAGTTAGCACATGACTGAATATTCCTGTTACACTACAGCATGTTGCCTCCTGGATCCTTGGTGCTGAAAGGCTGCTGTTTAACTGCACTCTCTAGCTTTCAACAACCTGCTCCTCCGCGAATTGTGCAAATTGAGAAAGACCTTTATAGAAAACCAGGGGCTGTGTGACCTCTCCTGATACTGGTACTAAAGGAGACACAGCAGAGGTCACTTGACCTTTAGCAAGGGGTGACAGCACACGTCACGTGACCTCTGCTGTGGCGTGCACTCCAGGTCACGCGACCTCTGATGTAACATGTAGTAAAAGTCATGTGACTGCGTCCCAGCAGTGCCGAAAGGCTGTTGCTTTGCTGCACTCTGCAGCTCTCAACGGTATGCTCCTGCACAGATTTTGTTGATTGAGCCAAACTGCAGTTTCGAAATGCACAGGCCAGTTAAATAAACCAACCTCTGAACAGGTTCTCCCGGAGTCGGAGATTATCTCGGCAGCTGACTGGGTTCACTGGGAGTTAAACACGAGATTATAGCTGCCAAGTCTGCAATTTCCCCATGTGCTCAAGGTCACTGCAGACTCTGTAAGCCAGTGAGGACGAATACGTGACTTTTCTATGCACAAGAACCCTCTGTGCTGCTTTCTCAGCTCCCCACACAAACCAGACATCTTTTGATCCCCCTCCTCTGAGTAATCAAGTTAGTGGGCTGGTCACATCCAACACACATCTTGAGCAGGATGGCCCGCCCTAGTTCTCCAGGCCCCGTTTCTAACGGGTCAGACACGCTGATCGCGAAGATGGGTGGGGGAGACACCGAGATGCCGGCATCGGAAAGACTCTATCATTTCAAACGTCACTGGGAGCCGAGGGGATTTAGAAGCAGATGACAGAGACGCCGCTCATGTCTCGAGAGGCCTGGTGTCTGAGTGCAGACAGGGCAGCTCACCCGCCCGACAGAGAGCTCAATCTGCACAGCTGTGCGCCACAGCAGCCTGGAGCAACAGCTCTTCAGTGCTGCACCGCTGGACGTTTTGAGCTGCAATGGCTCTTTCAAGGGGCTGGAACAGATCCAAGGGTCGCTCGGCTGATGATTAGCTCAGTTCAGAAACTGAGAGCTGGGGAACAGGGGTACAAGGAGCAGGTCCAGGGAGTCTCGGGGAAATCGCTGTACAAGTTTGTCCGTCAACCAAGAAATACACACGCAGCCGTTTCAAAGACAAAATAATTTTTTTAATAAGAGGGTCTAGAGGCCAGACAGTTCGTCAACTCATCCTCTAACAAGCGCCACGATGAGGGGTTTTGACAAAAACAAGCCAAGAATGGATTGTTGGCCCTCAATTGCAGTACAGCTTCTGCCTTTTCTCACAATTAGATTGAATTATAACTGTGAAAAGATTGTCAGACAAATATTGACCACAGCAGCCAACTCCAGAAAACAGCCCTCAGTCCAGTCTCCCCCTGAGTCTGTCCTCAGTCGTCTGTCCTCAGTCCTCTTGTAGTTTAAGAGCTTCACACAGAGCAGCTGAACTCACCGGAGTCAGTGGTCTATCACTCAGAAAAGCACTTTAGCTACAGACTTTAACACAGACAGCATTTTATTTGCCCTGGTTACCTATTGAGGAGTAAATGAGCCTGTTAGCACACAAATCTGCAAAACAGATTTATGGAACACTGGGGGAGTTTTATGGAGTTGGCCACTGGTCTTTAGCACCATATGGCTGCAGGGTGAGCAGTCCTGTTCCTGGAGGGGACAGCGTGGACAGAGCTGCCTGCTGTCTTTCTGACAGCTCTGGTCTTGAGGACCTTTAAATCAGTTATCTGTTTAAACGAACTAGCTGGATAACTCATCCCAACTTCAGATACTGAAAAGTCGCTTTGAAAAGTAAAAAAGATCCTGTCGGCACACTGGCCTGCCGTGACCAGTAATCAACACTCCCTGGAATAAAGGGACACAATGCCAAGCACAAAGCTGAGCAGACACAAACACTGGATCGTGTGTGTGCGCCCCGTAAGGCAGGGCCTCTCAACATCCGCTCCGTCTGATCTGTTCCACTCCACGGACTCGTTAATTATCAGTAATTAAACACAGTGGCAGAAAACGTCCGTAATGGAGTGGACTGGAACAGGGTGCAGGCTGCATGGGCCTGCTGCAGGGCCTGATGCAGATGCTCACATAGTCTCCATGTCTCCAAATGAATTGAAAAGCTCCATCATCAGAGCAACTGTCCTTGACAGACAAGTGACACCTGGACAGCCCGGCTGGACGCGGGGGCGCCCTGAATCCACTGTAATTACTGATAATGATCGTCCACGAAACAGACTGTTCAGTATTCCTCACATCTGCAGAGATGTGCACATGAAAGAGTTGCAAATTCCCTTTAAAAATCATATTGTGCACTTAGAGAAGTGATTTAAGTTTTTTCTAATTTGTTTGAATAGATATGTATGCCACAGTCAAGATAACATAGTATCAAAAACATTATTTACAATATTTATACATCCTGGGTCACAAGCACATCTAAAATAGTCTATATATGCTTTATATATTGTTCTAAAGTACTTTAGGTAGCAGAGAAGGAGGGGGTTTTACAAGTCACCTCCTATTTTAAAATTAACTCCCAGTTTTATCTCCCCATTTTGTATCGGCGAAATTAGTTTGAAATTTACATTTTTTTAAACTGTTTTCAAAGTGCATTGACCAATAATGATTGTATTCTACTCTTACCCCTCAGTTCACAAAATTTCAATTTTGATAGCAAACAATATTTCTATTTTAAATGATTTGAAATTATATAAACATCCATGGGAAATAAATCTTACATACAAAACAACCTTAAAGCGGAAGTTGTAATTGGCTCTTCTGCATTACATGATTTGTGCTAGTTTCATATCCTGCTGCACATCTACGCTCAGCTCTGTTGGCATTACTTATTTTTCCCACTCTGGCTGGGAACTTGCTCACGAGCAGAGAGGAAGTGAGATGGGGGAGGCATTTTTCCGTTGCTTCTTGAAGCAAACTAGCGTGTGCAACACTGAAATGCTTCCCCCCAGCATTTCCTCCCTGGGAGCACTTTTTTTTTTTGGTCAGGACACCTTTACTGATAAACGTGCAAAATAAGGTGTGAAATGAAAGTGGACGAAATTGTGCAGGAAAGCAGCTTAAACGGGGCACAAGATCAGGATGAAACAAGAACCTGGACGATGCAGACTAATTCTCGCACCTGGCCGAGTGAAATGGATCAACTATGATTACAGTCGTACCCCCTCTGCCTGGTGCAGCCTGCACTAAGATTCGCACAGCATTCGGCTGCAATGGAAGGGTGACACGAAGGATATTCCCAGTCTCCCAGTACACGCTGGTGAGACCTCCGCCAACGAAGACACGGCACAGAGCAGTCCCAGAATCCCGCACGCAGCCCGTTTCCTGGGGCGAGAGTCCGTTCTCCAAGTGCTCCGGCATCCACGTCACACACCTGCCGAGCGAGTGAGTCCACGCCCCGCCTCTGTCGGGGAGACTTCTCCGAGATCCGCGTGCCGAGAAACTGGGCCTCGTCTCTCAACTCCTTTATTTCTGACAAGTTCTTACGGCTTTGTACTGCAGCAGCAGTCTCCAGGCGCATTTCCACTGAGCTCTTGTGTTAAAGTGTTAAAGACTGGGCCCCCAGGGATTTACAACAAATAGCAATTTTTACAAACCTGAAAAAGTAAGACTGCTCATCATACAGTCTTTAGAATTACATTCCATCTCCTGTTCTTATGTTTGTCACTTGTCCTCGTTCTAAGAATCCCAGGGGGATTTTGGGGCACGGTCCGGGTTCTGCTTCGGTTTACCCTAGAAGAGTCCTTCGCCCCAGGAGATGTAGTGCATTAAGTCAGTAGTCCAATAAAAGGAGCAATTTTAATCCATGAATTTCCAGCGCATGTGCTCCCACCCCAGTCCTACATCACGCACCTGAGACACCCTACAGGAGCAGAACTGGACTTGGACCTGGGCTCGAGACAGCACTCCGGTGGTGAGTGCCTGCTCTGTGGACAGACTGATAGATGGACAGGCAGAGACACAGGGAGGTGCGGACTCTCAGACTGACAGGGGTGCGGACACACACAGAGCGGACTCTCAGACTGACAGGGGTGCGGACACACACAGAGCGGACTCTCAGACTGACGGGGATGCGGACACACACAGTGGACTCTCAGACTGACAGGGGCGCGGACACACACAGTGGACTCTCAGACTGAC